CTGTGTCCTAGTACAGCATGTAACAATGCTGGGACAATTTTGTGGATATTTTGTAATTATGTTCACTATTTATTACAAATGGAGCGATGAATCACCCAAGCTAGGCCTACATGCTTGCCAAAAAGACATACTGTAGTACTGCTGTAAAATATATCTACAAAATACATGTACATGCATAACTGTCTTTTCTTGTAATACAAAAATAACATCCCAGTAATTGTGACTACTGGATACATTTAAAAGTTTTGTTCTGGCAGCAGATATATGAACCAAACAATATTTTTTCATTAATGAGGTACATCCAATCAGAAACTTGGTCTTAATACAGGACTTGATGGTTACAGGGATCTCATATCAAAGTGCCCCAAATATTGGATTTTTTAATTTTTTAATTGTTGTTAATCATTCAACTTTTCAGTGTGATTTATTTGTGGGAGTGGAAATACAAAGTGGATCACAATAATTCTCATGCCTGTGCCATGTTCCATAAGACTGGGATTTTCATCTTACTTTTCGCAAAAGTGTAAGGAGCTCTTTCTTGCTGTGGAAGTATCTAGAAATCATAACATTTATATTTAAAGTTTTGATTAAATAACAAGGTACACGCTATGTGAAATGTTGGTCTGGAATACATAATAGAATATTTACAGCACACAGAAATAGAGCATCTATTTAGAAGCAACTCAGGTCTTTTAATGGGTGTGATTTTTGTACCACAACACACCTTAACATAATGTATTCCTAACATGTACAATTAAATGTGTTTACTCTAATACTTCACAGATCATTTCCTCATTTCACCGGTACAGTAGTTTTCAGAATACCAGGCTTAATGGCCAATCATAATCTGCAGCCAAAGCAGGACTGTACAGTATAATGTCTAAAGCACATGTAGTCTACATGTAGCAATATTTCAAAGAGAGGATTATGATGTGGGAATATTCAAATCTAATCAAACCCTTTGTTTTAATGTCCCTTCTCCCCTACAAAGTGTGAACATTTGGTACCACGAAATCATTTAGATACACAATGATATAGCAACAAAGACATACATGTAGGCCTACTTCATTCTACGCTCACTCACAAAAACAAAATTCTTCCGAAAAATGTGGATGAGAAACTTGCTATGTAATTTGCAGAACTTGTACTGTTTAAAACAAAACTTCTGCTTTGATACCTCGGACAAAACTGTATAAATTGTATAAAAAATAAACAGTATAAAATTATGTTCATTTGCTCTCCTTTCCTGAATTATTTTGAACATTTCGTAAATGTATGCCCACAATAATATAAGAAGTTTAGTGACATTTGCGTTAGGGGTGTCAAATTTGGCAGACATGGCACAATACAAATGCTCATTATTATTATTTTGATAACAAACGTACATGTAAACTGACCGTACAGAGACAAAAAGGCATTAAGGATGTGTTGAAGTATAGGTGATATGAGGTCAAAAGAGAAGAAAATCAAGTTATTTTGAAATATAATACCTTGCCCTGATCTGATGACAATCAGCCACTTCTATATGCCTACTATCAAGCGTCGTGCTCTGGTACAGGATAACCTTGACCTGGAAATGATAAGAAAGAAAAATAACCATGGAAACAAATATCTGTAGGTATAGAAATTACTGATTACATTCATAAATTTCACTCATAGTTTCTCTATTTAAAGCTCTGAAAAACTTTTTGTCTGATTTCATTGATTCTACATCCAATTAATAACGTGTATGTGTACTCACAATCTTATAAGCTGCTGCAAAGTCTTTCTACTTGGAGTAACACCAATGACAATAGTCCACAATGTGGCTGGTTTTGATTTTATTTTGCAATTATGATCTCTTCCATCCCCTACGTGCTGAAAGCCGATGATGGCGTGATCCACACATCAATAGGCACAGTCTGAATTTTTGCCGGGGGTACACATTCAGGGATTACGCCATCTACGGCTTGCAGCAAGTACAAGGAGATCGTGTTGATGGAGATTGTTGAAATTAAAGTTACTAGACTCTAGACTTAAATATGACCGTGTACTTGCATAACATGAAGAGGATCAATTTGCATGTCCTTATCATTCTGACCAGTGCTATAACTGCACATTAAACAGTACATACATCATCCATATATTATATACACACAGTTAACAACTAAATTAGTAATACTCTTAGGCGAGGCGTCAAAAATATCGATACCAGCAGGCTGCCGCCTCACGTATTGGCGCATCGAGGCTGCAATTACGGCCGAAGCCTGGCTGGGGCAATTATTTTTCACTTATTAGCCCAGCCGGCTTGCGCCAGGCTGGGATCTGAGGCTCGGTTTCCATTCGAAAGGCGGCAGCCGGCGCATGCTTTTGTTCGGAGACCATTATGATGACATCATGAGTTAATTGAGGGTCCTACCGCCAGCGGTAGCCGGCTGAGCTAATTTAAAAAATGCAGCCAGGACGCACAAGTGCAGTTAGCTGCCGCTGGCTGGTATATTTATTTTTGACGCCTCGCCTTACCAGGTTTTGTTCCTGATTTATATTTCTTGAGAATATGGCAACGGGTGTGGAAGGGGGTGATTTCGGATGCATTTTAGGTTTTGTTTACATGCCTTTCCACGCAGGTGTGTGTGCGCTCTACGCGGACAATTATGTATATGTACAGGGGTGAGATCTCCGCATGTGTGTATAGAAAATACGTAGTTAAAGACGCTACTTGGAATTTGGGCGTGGGGAAGGGGTAATGAAGAAGGGCGTGGTCAATATGATAGGTATTCGTGGCGCCGCACAGGTGGCATAATGGATCTGCATCTCAATAGCCCATAACAACTTGACCAAATGAAATTGAGATCTGCTGATTGTGTGACAGAATCACTCGTAAACATAGAAATTAAAGTTAAAGTTTATATCTTTTGCAAAGATGGTTTTAGTTCCGATCGATCGAGGGCCAAAATCTGTTTTAAAATGTCTGACTAACTCGCTGGTCTAAAAAGCTCAGCGCAGACATGCCTCTATATCTAGAACAAATTATGAATTTTGCTGTCAATTTTTGAGTATCAGTCACCACATGACACCCGCTATCTGTGACATAAACTATACCTTGGCATGGGCGTTGAGTAGGGATACTCATAGTTCGATTTAATAGTATACAGTAATTCTGGAAATATGTGATTATTATGTTTGATATGACAAATGTCATATTTTCATTTTCAAATATTTGTGTCAGAATTAATATAGCACCTTTTCAGATGGCTGTAATTTTGTTATTTGATACCACAGGCCTCACATCTCATTTTATTGGGACATATTATACAAACTTTGCCTACTATGCTCTGCTATAAAGAGGAAATGCCCTGTCTTACTCTTTTTCATGAAATGGTTGTGACAATATTGTTAGTTCGTGATAGATAACTATGATATCTTCTGCAAATTGTATTCATCGAGAGATCAAGGTCATAGAGATTGATCCATAATGTTATGAAAAGATATAAATTAATCCATCAAGATAAATCGTATTCTCCCAATTAATTTGTTGGGCCTTATAGGCAAGATGTATACCTCAGTCACTCCATATCGATTTCAAATCAACCGATTCTGGCCCATACGGTAAAGTGTAAGATTTTGTTTGGTTTGATGTCGGTCTGGTGTCAGTCTTGTTGGTATGACTGTGGCATATCTCTGACGAATAAACATCAATGCCCGTGTCACAGTTGAGTGATTTGAATTAATCGCTGAAGTTCCTTTGAGGGAAGGCCTAACAAAGGAAGAAAAGAATAAGTAAGTTTCCCTCCTATTTTGCAAATTGTCTACGATATCATACTTATTATGTTGACATCATTACCAAATTTAGATTTGGCGACAATATATCGAAAGAGAATATTTTCTTAGGTTATTCTTGATTGACTGTAGAAAGGCGACATCATATGTATTGTCTGAATTGGCTGATAGAGGTCATATTAAAATGAGTCAGAAAACGGAACAAAGTGTGGGAATATTCGGCGTCAAAATTCAATCAATCAATACACCAGAGTTGGCTTTGTGTCATAGTGCCCTCATTCGTCATAATTTTAACCACAATGCAAAACAAAAATACATTTTGTGATTTTACATACAATTCCTATGAAACTTCAATGGGGAATAGTAAATAATCGGATACCAAATGGATGGGTCATTCCACAGATTCGACATAGTTTGTAAAGGGTACACCCTAATTCAGGTATCAGATACATGAAAAAAGGGTTTGATTGTCTCTTTCCCTCGGTGTTCCCTCTCCATGCTGTCTCTAGTTGTTACAATTCCATCCGTCTTCCTCCCTGTTTCCCCTAATTTTCACCGCCTTTCATTTTCATTCGTATCCCTCCGTATCCCCCTTTCTGTATCTCTTACTCCTTAACCACCCCTCCTTTCTCCTTCTCATTCTCTCTCTCTCTCTCTCTCTCTCTCACCCTCCATCTCTTCAAACTCTTTCTAAAATTATATTTCCCTCTGTTCTTCTCTCTCTCTCTCTCTCTCCCCCTCTCTCTCTCCTTCTTCTCTCAACCCTCCTCCTCTCTCTCTCTCTCTCTCTCTCTTGCCCCTCCTCTCTGTACCTTCTTTTTTCTCACTCACTCTCTCCCTCTCTACCTCCTTTTAATCTGTAAACTCTTTCTAGGATAATACACTTCCCCTTTTTTCACTCTCTTTCTCTCTTATTCTCCCCTCCTTTTTCTCTCTTAATAAGACCCAATATTTTTTCTTTGACATACAGAGGTCAAGTGAAATTATAAATTCAACAGATTTCCAAATCATCTTACCCTCCCTTTCCCTCATCTACTGACACGAAATCTTAATCAATGTGAAAACATATCCGGGCGCCTAATAATCTATGGATAAAAAAAAACTATTGTGTCTCCGTCACCTTAAGTTATGTATTTTTTGGTAGCAGTAATTCTTGTTTCATTAATTACATGTCGACTTTGATCACGTGTCACTAGATACATACAACAGAAGAACAAAAAAGAAAACGTAAAAACATATTCTTAAGAGCATGTAGTATCTTCGTTTTAATTCTGAGTATAATTCTAGCCCAAACACCAAAACAACAATCTCAAAATCGAAAAAAATTCATGAATGAGTATATCGATCCCTTATTCCCCTTACCGACGGCTACAATAAAAACAAACATTAAAAAGCTGAATGTAAAGCACTGTGAAATCAAGTTGTGCGAAATTATAATCTTGAATATTATTGAATCTAAAAAATGGTTCCTCATACTTGAGTATCAAGTCTGACAGGCATGAGCGCTCTACAAAAAAATCCACTATTAATATTACAATCATCACCACTATTATTGTTATCATTGTTATCATTATAGTTGTTATTATTACTATTATGAATATTATCATCTTTATCATCATCATCATCATCATTATAGTAATGATTTTCCAATTTGTTACAAAAAAAACCGGTTATGTATATTTTATGTTTCAGTGTTGTATGTTATGTAGTATGTCTTTAGTGTATAGTTTATGTTGTCCTGTACTTGTTATTTAAATTAAAACCTGTAACCTGTACTTTTGTTTGTGTTTCCCTTTGTGTTTGAACAATATATGAATATATACATGTCAAAACAAAGTAAATTTGCATTTTGTAAATTGCAACAAACAGCAATTACTGGATATCATCCACCTAAAAATAGAAATACTGTCATTTTATTTGCTCATTCTTCAACACATTTAAAAGCAATTTGAAGACAAAAGAGAGTACAAAATCATGACGAAGTCAAACGAATAAAAATATAGAATCATTAAAAGAGATCGTTTTAAGTACATACATGCATCTATCACTTGAATATATATTGCCATATTAAACATTTCAGTTTGAAATTCAATCATAGACCAAAACTGCAGTTACTAAAAAAGGAACAAAAAAATATGTCTACGTATATATGCTAAATCTCAGGGCCACCGACCCTTTTCAGGAGTTGTCAACAATTACAGGAATGTGGCACCATTCCTCACGACCATTTCATTAAATAGTCTCTCGATGAAAATAAAGGATCAACAACCCTAGATATTAATAAACAAAAAGAAAGCGACTTAGCGCTAAAAAGAAGGATTATTCTCTGGATTATTCATAAAAGAGTCACTTCGTCATTAGAGAAAACTAAAGCAAGCCATGCGCTTATAATTCGTTTAAGTTTATAACCACAAATAAACTTACTCCTAACAGGATATCCATAAGTCACTTATGGTCCAGTCATGTAGATAATGACAACAATAGGCTAACGTGATTTTGTTTTTGAGAATTATGTTTTCAATCAACGGGTTTAATGGTACTCCAGCATTATAGATACTTTTGATAAATCTTTTACGCACAAAAAAAAAGATTTCATAAGGTAATTCTCTTTGTTATGATAATCTCCATGATTGTCTTCAATAAATATTTCAAGTCTATATCTTGATGTACTTCGATTTTTGTAAAAGACTTCAGAAAAATCTATTTGATTGACATTCTATATGATACAAACTTCATAGGCCGGATCAACATCTTCCTTACCGTCAAAGGACTTCGTTGGATCACCGCCCTTCTCGATCTTGGAGAAATCAAGGTCAGTATATTGCTTACCGGAGGACGTCGGCTTCGAGGGATCACCGCCCTTCTTACCCTGAGAGAAATCAAGGTCAGTATATTCCTTATTATCATCGAAGGACGGATTCTCATAATCATGCGACTGGTCGTTTTCCGACGTCGACTTCGTCTTGGTCAAGGAGATTCCCTGACTCGTTCCTTGGTTCGCACGGGTGCTCGTTCTCGATGAGTCCTGCCCACAACCGCACACCTTGGCCCAGTACGCGCACACTACTGGGTTCCTCGCGCAGTAGAGGATGAAGATGAAGAAGCCTTGGAGAGAGTTGAAGACAATGAAGAGAGTTTGGGTGACCTGACTTGTGGTGTCAATCAAGGTCAGGTAGGCCGTTACCCAGGTCAAGCCGAGCAGAAGGAGGACGCTGACCGCGTTCTTGATCCGCTCGATAGACGCCTTGTGGTTGGTCCCGGCCGCGTCGCTATTAGAGGCGACGTTGGCCGATTTGATCAAGCGGCGAACGACCAAGCTGAAGATGACGATGTTGGCAAGGAGGATGATCGCTATTGGGATGAGGAGTCCACCGACCGATGGCCACTTCTGAAGAAAACAGCTGGATAATAAACAAGATTGAAATTGAAATTTACACCTATCTCCTTAAGAAAATTGTAAATCATACATAATTATGTGCATTGTTCAAATGTATGCAATAACTCTATTCCGTCGTCAATAACTAAGAAATAGAAGTTGATGATATTTTCTGTACAGAGCTAATCGGAGAGGAGCTCGCATGATACGTCACATTTTGCCACTGACGATCACTTCAAAAATGCATAACTTTCCTTTTTAACTGAAATCTGCCTAAACCTTAACTAATATGTTTCTCTCGTTGTTCTGCTTTTATCAAAACCAACTCAATATCAGGATGGACTTCCCCTTTTAGTCCCACCCAAGGTGTAAAGCAGTATATTTTCTTTAATGGCTTTGAGGGGCGCGATTCCAGGATTATGTAAGACGAGCGGACACGTCCCCGAAGAAGAAAAAATCACAATTAAGTCTCGTTCACATTAAAAAAAAAAGATGTATAATGTAATAAGTTTCACATTTTTGTCTCTCATAACACAGAGCTCAGGGAATAGGCGCAAGTCCTTTGTTGAGCGCACTTGCCATTCATTCACACGTTAAAAAAAAAACTCGGCGGCTTGTTGTGTGTGTCTGTTTACCGCCATATCTGAAACGACCTTTAAGAGCGAAAATTGTTGTGTTCTTTATGTTTGCAAATTGCTTTCAATGGGGAGGGAGATAGGGGTATGGGGGTAGGATGTCAATTGAGGTTGTACGGTTGTAAATGTGCCCTTGCATCTTATATTACAATAGTAGATCTTATATACCTCACTTAAGTAATCCAGCAATCTGATTGGTCGAAATTGCATTCATAAACTTTAACTGTTCCCGAAAATTCCCAGTAACCATGGTTAAAACAGTTCAAAATCCCAATAACCATGGTTATTGGGAAAATAGGTCAGTCTCCATGGTTACCTTATAGGTTTACATGTTAAAAAATGGTCTAAGCGATCGAGGATACCATACGTGTGCGAAGAATTGGTCGGTAATTTCAATACAATTGAATCTCGATCGATCTTACCGACAATTTTATCTTGCATTGTTGACATGAAGACGAAAATAAAGTTCCCAAAACAAAAAAACAACATCTGCCGATAGATCTTGATCCAAGTTCGTGCCAATATGCATTGCAAAAGTAAAAGAAGGGCCCGTTTAATGGAGCTTTTGCGAAGCATTCATCACGCGAAGCCGGTTTCAATCCATTTTAATGTATATATGGTACAAAACTGACAAGCATAGTAAAAGCGCGCGATGGCCGAGTGGTATAGACGTTGATTTTAGATACATCACTTGTTGAACGCAAGAGTTCGAATCCCATCTTCGACAAAAAAAAATATATTTTTAATTTTTAGTCTATTTTTTTTCGGCATATAAAAGTATTAATGACTGCTTTAATATTCGAGAAATAGTTGTTTTTATACGCTCTCGGGAAGGTTACAATTGGGCTATTCCCCTCGGCACGCCTCGGGTAATAGCACAATTCTAACCTTCCCTTGAGCGTATAAAAACAACTATTTCTCTCAAAGCAGTCATTAATACTATAATATCTATTCATGTTCCTTTTAAGAATGATTTCGAGTGTTTTCTTAGGGTAGCTTACTAGTCTGTTGCTGCATAGTTTCCTTGGGATGCCAGCCCGGTGAGAAGGACGATCAGACCGCTGACTCCTGCCATGGTATCAGAATAGAGAAACGTTTAAGAGAGAGAAAGGGGAGAGGGGGATAGAGAGGGCGGACAGGGGTAAATAGGAAAGAGAGAGAGAGAGAGAGAGAGAAGAAAAAAATCATTAGCAAGTTGGGATACCAGTTTCCTCCCTTTTACTGTCTCAAGGACTTAAACCTGAATAACTGGTTGACGACTCGTGAATATCATGACATTTGAGTTGGTTTAATTATCTTCATTTGATTAAAGCCCTTCACAGTTTCTTGTGTATTACACTTTTAGTTTTTAGAAACTGAATAGACCAATAATAACCTAATTTCGTGAACATTAATGTTTCCACTGTTGTTACTTTCTAACAGGAAAGTAACTCTACTTGTATCTACCATGATACTAAAATATGACAGTATGAACAAATTAAACAAGGGTTATATGTGGAAAAGTATTCATTGCATCACAACTTATCATCGTTAAATACAGGTTCAAAATATCTGAGAAAAGAAATCTCTAAACATGATATTGCTATTGGACTGGACAAAACAAAAGGGGGTGTGAAATTAAAAATGGAGGAAAACAAAAGACAGATGGCTCCATTAAAGGTGGGCAAAAGAAGGAGCGATTTCTAAGACTCGTCTTCAAGTATATTATACTGAACAGACTTCCCTGAATAAAGAAGTGAAATAAATTTAAAAAATAATAACAACAAATAGGCAAATTACAGAAGAACTGGAAAATGAAGGATACAAACATTGCTACAATGATGTGAGAATCCAGTAATCATTTAGAGGAGGGGATAGCGCCCCAAAACACTTCACCCCCCCCCCCCTTTCTGATAGGTGCCCCTATGTTATCAAATCATGCATAGAGAAGAACACTCACCCCATGCCACGATGCTGGCTTTGAGCATGAAACGAGGAATGTAAGCATCGAAGACGCGTACGACAATGAGATAGGTGTTGATTCCCTCAACGCCCATCCAGGCCATAGAGGACAGGGTGAAGAAGTGAACGAGAGCGGCGAGGATGCCGCAAGGGACGGGAGTGACTTCGGGGTAGTCGGGATGACGGTCCAATGCGCTCATGATGAGGAAGGTGAGGTATAGACCGAGAAGGGTACCACATAGACACATGAAAATCTTCTGCGACTGGAGGACGTGAAGGTTTCTGTCAGAATATACAAACATACACTCAATTGAAAACAAAAGCAAATAAACAAACACAGAACACATTGTTCAGCAGCAGCAATTCAAGTATATGAATATACGAAATTAGAAACTTGCAGCAAGAGAAATTTGAATCACGACAACAGTCATTTTATATTTACCGAATGTATGCTTTGAATGTTAACAAATGTATATTTAATTGTCATGCCATTATTTTATGTAACTTTAATAAACGTATTGGTAGCAATTTAACTACAACCAAATACAACTACCAACAGGACAACTGCTCCCAGAGAAAAACCACACCCCAAGCTATTACTCTAATTAGGGGATAGTTGTCCGGGATTTAACCTGATCAATATCTGGATGTAGTTGTTCTTTAGATTTGACAACTAATAGTCGTTATTTTCCCACTTGAAGACATTTTCAAGCCCAACCGTCTTTTAGGGAGGTTCTAAATAGTATTATCTTTCAAATGCCGTTGGAATTTAACCTTTTCATTTTGTTGGCCTACAAATGGGACATAGTACCTTTAATGTATGAATTGTTTTGAAAGCCCAACAGGTAGTTGTCCTAGATCATAGATACAAGCATTATATCTCATTGAAGGATTCTCCTCTGACATTATATGACGGTTTACATTGTTCAAATGGTTGAGACCGTGGGCAATGGTGTATGTGAAGAACAAAAAAAAAAGGAAATAACAGAATTTACATCATTTTTCTAAATGCAAAAGAGACCAAATTGCGACTTTATCAAGTCATTCGGAATTACTCAAGAACATTAATCATTAGTTTTTTGTACTTACTTGTTTGATAGATAGGTGATTAGTATAATGACTAAACACACAATAGAGATGGCACAACCGATGATACTAATAATCCGTAACGCCTCAACACGTTCGTAATATATATCCTAAACAAAACAAGACAAAAATACATATATGGTAAATGATAGCAATCAATAACAACAACACCAGCAACAACAACGACACCAATTATAATAATCATGATGATAATAATGATAATAATAATGATGATAGTCATGATGATAATGAAGGTCATGATAATCATGATTATGATGCTATAATAATGGTGAAAATGTTTTGAAAACGCAATAAAAGCACATTGATTTGCAGTATTTATTGTGAGAAGATAAGTAGCTTAGTACTTAGTATGTTGGATAATTATTAACACTAGGTCCATATCATCAACATACAATAATAATTTTAATCTACCATACGATGTGAACATGTTTCTATCATACGATGCAGAAAAATGTTACAATTCAATCATAATTAAGGTTATCAAAACTATTCCAGTGCAGCTGATATGTGTGATTATCCAACAATGCTACTAATAATACTTTTCTCTCAATGAAAACTTCGCCAACCTTCGTTAACATAATACGTTAACCTTGCCACGTGTCTGTAAAAATTGATTAATCCTATTTTGTTTGTAAAAGGAGGTGAACCCTCCCTTTCTTGACTCTCTCTTATACCCCTTTCAAACTGGTCTGATTTAATCGGTATTTTCATCGACGTGACTCCGATAGAAGCACTGTGGAAGGGGTATTAGTGCAACTTACCATCAATACCGCGAAATTCGACAGATGATTGCAGCTGCATGTCATTTCACCATTGTCTGATCCTGATGACGCAATCCTTTCACATCCTCTCGGTGACCAATCAAGTGTGTCCTCGAAGTCCCAGAACACACATACGGCATTTTTAAAGTCAGACTACAAGCATAATCATTTGGAAGATATAGATATTTATTCAACATAATCGCAACCCAAGACCGATTTTGATACGTTAATGTATTGCTCGGAATATTTAACATGGTAATGTTGCATTAAAAAGAGGGAGTGGCGTCAAAAAGTGAATTCCACCTGGGCTTCGGCTATCATGTGATGAAGATCATGGTAATGAATGTATGCACATTTTCAAAGGGTGTTGCACGAGGTTATTGAAAAATTGACTAAGGTTGATATCTAAAAATCTTCGAGATCGTGGAAGATAAAGAAATTCATCTATACCTCATACATTATCATAATGTTTCCATTGCCAATAAGTTATGTTACACATAATCAAATTTGCTGGTACTTTCAAGGAGTGATAAAATAGGGATCCCTTCATTTTTAGTGGAATCAACTATCAAAAGAGTGATGTAACCAATACTCTAGATTAGTTTTAATAGATTAATATTCCAGAGGAAGTGATTTTTAATACGATTTCTAAGAAAGTGTATTTCCAGTCTTCTATATTAAATATTATAGTAGAGTTTCCTAGATAATAAAGATCAGGGGTGGATCCAAGGCTGCCAGGTAGCATGAATGATAGGAATAGGGTTAGGGTTCTCTCATTGTAAAAGTATGATAAAATAGAAACAATGAATATCACCAGCCTTTTGCACACCATTTAAGACAAAGTAAGACAAATCCTGTAAAATTGTATTTTAATCGTTGATTAAAAACGTGGAAAGTTCATGTTTCTCTTGGACCGTGTCGTTTTATAAGAAAGATGTGCCCCTCGTTGTATTTCTTCGTATCCGGACATCCACCCCGATAAACCACCCCAGTCACCAACCCCCTAGGACAACTACCCCCTAGGGCAGCCATCCTCAAGGACGACTTCCTCCAAAGACAACTACCCCGGACAACTTCCCCCAGACAACTACCCCCTAGGACAACTACCCCACGGAAAACTACCCCCTAGGACAACTACCCCCGGGCAACTACCCCCAGACAACTACCCCCTTTGGATAGTTGTCCCGAGGGTAGTTGTCGTAGGGGGTAGTTGTCCGGAGAGAATTGTCCTAGGGGGTAGTCGTCCTAGAAGGTAGTTGCCCTAGGGGGTAGTTGTCCTAGGAGGAAGTTGTTCTAAGGGGTTGTTGACTGGGGGTGGTTATCCGGGGGTGGATGTCCAGGGGGTAGGTGTCCTAGAATCGAAATTTCTTACCTGAATAGGTGTGTACTTGAATTCGATGTTCTCCCCCAAACTCGTCATCTGTTGTCCCCCGAGCGTCAAACCCATAACAAGTGAGTTCACAGTCCGGTTGAAACTGCTCTGCCCGCCGTTTGTCCCGCGAATATGCTGCGAAGGGAACAATGACGGTGTCCTAAAAATGCTAAGGGCCACGCGTACCCCTGACTCGCTCCCGACTTCGCTGCTGAGGTCGATCAGGACGGAAGAGGGAATAATGACACGAGTTCCTGTGAGGATCTCTTCCTGGACTAGGCTGTCTCCGGCGTTGAGCGTGATGTCAGTCTGGCTTATATCTGAGGAGCTGCTGCTAGCAGATACGGTCAACCCCGATAAATAGTCAGCCGGTTCGACACTCGTCACCTAAAACAAAAGAAACCTCATTTAAAAGAATCACTTTATTTTATTTTATTAAAATACATTTTTAAAAGAAATGAAATTTGATGCCTAGGTATTTGTGATGATTATGGATACCATTTATATTTACACTATTCGTTATTTGAATTGTAAACATAATCTAAAGAGAAATATGGCGCCAGACAAATGACAAGAATAACACTCATTATCATCTTCATCAAAAAGAACGAAATCAAATACATCATTATTATCAACAACAACAACAACATAATGATAATGAATTAAAAGACCATCATCATCATCTACCAACAACAACAACGACATCATAAACATCATCATCATCATCTTCAACAACAATATATCACCTTCATATATAAAGAGATATAGGCAAAGCTGCAGAAATCCTATAAGTTTCTACACAAATTAATTAATCATCGTGCCCCTGTGACGCCAGTAGGCATATTTTCAAGCTTGATCGGGGAGAAAAATCCGTGGGCTATGATTATTAAGTAAGCTGTGTCTATATACTCTGGCAACCAATCTAGCACAGCCATTGTTTTAGTGTTTTCAATATTTGTCCCCCCCCCTTTTGTATATGAATGTACTATTTTATCCTAATTTATGTATTTTTTTCAAAATGAATAATTGATAAATAAATTTAGAGCACTATTCAAATCTCACGGGAATAAAAAGAACAGTTTATATAAAACAATTGCATTCCTTTGAGTTTCGGGAATGATTAGAAGTATATTTATACCTGTACAGCTACATTCATCTCCAATGCCGTATAACTTTGTCCATCCGATATGTCAAGATTGTTAAGCTGTTCTTCAAAACTCTCCAAGATTTGAGTAATCGCTCCAGTATTTTCTTCCACCGCGGAAAGTTCTTCTTCATCTTTCTCTGCGAAGTTGCTGATGATGGTTGCAGTAAGAGTAGTGATCTGTTGTAATGGAACGATAGTAATTATTTTTTTTAAATCATTGCATAAGGAAAAGTGAACTGCCATTCTTATTATTGTCATTTATTATCATAATTTTCCTAGTTTTTGCATTTCATTGCATTTTCCGTTACATTTGTAAACTCTCATTTTGCTAACTACGAAACACAAGACATGCACGAAACTGAAAAGCGTATCCTTCAATCACACCAAGTTTTCACCAGAGGCCGATTCAGATACTGCCCCCGCTCTCTATTTCTCTCTCTCTTTCTCTATCTCTCTCTCTCTCTATATATATATACATACACACACTCACACGCACATACACACAAACACACTTATATATATATAATATATATATATATAGGCCTACATAAAACCATACACACACACCCACACACACACACGCACACACGCAACGCACACACGCACTCACACACAAACACACACGCAAACACACATTTATATATATATATATATCATTGGGTGCAACTCTCATTAGGCGTTTTCCTATGTATTCCATAATCCAACATCCGTGACTGTTAACCAATATTTTATATATAATATGGTATTTATTTTACTCACCCCTGGATCGCCATTTTGTAGGGCTGTACTGTTGCTGATGATGTTAGCTATGTTGACAATGTCTCCTTCGTCTATCTCCATGTCTGTGACCACTACCACGATCTCTAGCACTTCTATCACTGTCTCATTTGTTACTCCTTTCTGAAAATAGAATTATACATTTTTTGTTGTTGAAAGCTACAGAAAACTTTAATGGTTAGAGGCAAGTAAAGTAATTTACCAACCTTTGATAGCCTAAACATGCTAAAGCGCCAATCAACCGTAGGCAGAAACTACAGACCTACTCTTGACGTCCAGTTGATATTTTCTGTTTGTATGTTAGAAATAATACACCAAATGACACCTAACCCATTCATTCACCTTCTGAGACGAAGTAAAATTGTGCTGTATGGCCATTTCCCTTTAGCTTAGTGGTTAGGAATTACAATGTTTTTGCACATTCCTATCTTGTCTTCAAATGTTATCATGTCCTCGATTGCCTCTTCTTTCCTCATACATGAATTTACAAACCACTCTTTTATCAATTATTTAGTTTTTTTTACTTGAATTAATAAAGTAATCACAGTTCCAATTAAAAACGGCCAATAGATGTTACCAATTAACATGTTAAGCACTTGATAATTAGCTGAGCAATACTAAACGAGCAATAAATGGTATCATCAATATTTGTATATATTTGTAGGACTATAATATATCGTAGAATAAAAAACATTGCTTTCATGAATTCATATATTTCTTGTAACATTTTGATGTAAAATTTTGAATAGAATGTCATTCCGATGTATAAGAGAAATTTACATAATATGATACAAAATGTTGTTTGTTGATTATAGTGTGTAATATTTGTCAAAACTAATTCCGTTTTTTCTTATGAACTCTAACATTGTCGATAATGATTTTTTTTATTTGATATTTTTGTCGATGCTTTTTGAGTATGTACTACCGTTGAAGATTCATCGTAATTCGGCTTTGCCGCAATGATGTTTTTTTATTAAAATATTATGAATTATTCCAATAATTTTATAATTCAAAGACACATTTTTACATGATGATTCGAAATAAATATCCATCTAGATTTCATTTTTTTTGTTTTCTTCCCTTCCTTATCTTTGTTCTTAGTCCTTTCTTTGTTTCTTTGTTTCGTTCTTTGTTTCTTTCTTTCTTTGTTTCTTTATTTCCATAAATATTTTTACCTTTCTTCCTTCCTTCCTCCATTCTTTCTTCCTTTCTTTCTTTCTGATTTTCATCTTGTATGTTCGCCTCCCGTTACGCATCGTTACATATTACACAAATTCTCTTTTTGTGAATATTTTATTCATGATGATGACGTAATTTCGAGATGTGTTTATGATGTGAACCTTATGTGATACTATACTGTAAACTTATAATGAATGAGATATTTATGCAAGTCATAACTCATTAAAGCAAATCTTATGAAATTAAATGTTTTGCTAATTACAAGAGAAATACTTACCTCAATAATATCGTCGACTACTTCATTTGTTTCCCTTAACGGCCCACAGTCATTCAAATACATGATGATATTCCAAGCCAATTCTCCAAATGTTGTGTCTTGTGCACACTCTGCACGTCCAATGGGTATACCGCCTGTATTCAAATTTAAAAAATTGATATTAACTAGAATACTAGTTTGGTTTATTTACTAAAAGTGTGTCGAGTTTGATACTTAATTTGCATTATAGCAATATAATGTGGGCAGCCGTGATTGTTTATGATTGATCTTTGAATTTATAAAAGAGTAGCACTGCATACTCTTTATAGGTTGAGCCAATATTGATAAAAATGTTGGTAGCTTTGGTAATAAAAGATGGAAAAGGATATGCTGTTTGGTTCGTCAGTACTGTTCAAAATTACCACACTCTGCAGTGAATAATGGCTCTATTTTATTGGAATTAGGACTTGTAATACTACAATGACAACAATCGCAATAAGAGAACGGGAGAAGAGCACTGCTATTACTATCACCCAACTTCCACCCTTTAACACACGAGGACAAACTCATATTTAATAGTTCGTATTGTAAGTATTATTTGAAGCAAGAGATCAGCTTGAACCATATTGAACATGAATATGATCCACCTTCAACTTATTCAAAAAAAGAAAAGAGAGGTATATTGAAACCAACGATAGGTGATAAAGAAAAACAAAAAGCAAACAATAGGAGGAAGAAGAAGAATTCGAAGCAGAAAGTAACAACAACTACAATGATAATGATATTGACAATAACAACGACTATGAAAATGATAATAATAATAGTAATAAAAGCTATCATGCTTATAATGATAAAGATGATGAAAATAATGATTATGATAATAATAATAACAATACTAATAACAAGAAGATGAGGTGAAGGTGGAAGAAGAAGAAGAAAACGTTAACAAGAAGAAAAATGGGAGGGGAGTAGAATGAAGGAAAGAAGACAAAGGAAAAGAAAGGAATGATAAGAAGAAGTTTGGAGAAGACGACGAAGAAGAGGATTCTACTTACCCAAAGTGGTATAAATTGGGCACGTCTCAATGGAATCCACAACATCCCCTTCTCTGCCATCCGGAAAAGATGCGTTACCGGATATGAGGGGAGAGCATGCTGCACCTATTTCATGTTAGGTTGGTGGAAATAACGAACAAATCGCGTAAGAATCAAACAATAAAATGAGTGTAGCATATGTCAATATGTAAATTATTTTATCAATATAATAATAATGTCTTAAGTCTTATCCTTTAAGTAATTTGTGTACAAATCAATTATCGAGATTATTTGCACCATATGTATGCATACGATTATGAAAAATCAGAGGGAAAATCATATATTCTGGCTATTCTGAAATAATTTGTTCTACATTATATACATACACATACATGTATATTCGGAATAATTTCTTATAGATTTCAACGATCTACACGATATGACAAAGATGAATCTTACAATGTGCAATACGTAAGAGACTAGCAATTGTCTTTTAACAAGAACCCGTTAAGAAACTAAAATACTCTATATGTGAGAGTAAAGTAAAAAAAAAAAAAAAAAAAAAAAAAGGGGGGGGGGGGAACGTGTCAAATTGCATTTTGATAGATGAACAGTGAAGCAGAGGAAAGAAATAAGGACAGCAATGAAGGTACACGTAAATAAGTACAAATGGCGCAGAGGAGAGAGTGATGATGAAGGTAATGTTTTTGTTGAACAGAGGGCTTTGCAAGTTGTTTGAAGAATGGAATGTAAGAAACTAACAATGTAAACATGGTAAAGTTTGACGAGGGGAACTATGGTTTTGATAGACAAAAATAGAGTACGAAAGAGAGGGGGGAAATTATGTAGATTAATTGTGGTTTACGATTTCAATTTACTTTAACGCAGGCTATACACATCACATCATGTAGGTAAAGAAAAATATTTAGTTAAAGAACATGGAAGAAGAAAAAGAATTGTATTAATGTTTGGAGGTAAATAAGTACTCAGTGAATTTAAAAACAATCATGGAAAAACAAAAAACTGATTAATGTACGAAGGAAATTGAAAATGCAAAAATATAATTGTGAGCGAATAACAAAACTGAAGCATTGATTGCATGAATGTGGAAATATGATTACATAAGTAACAACATATTGTATAAGTCAAACATCTTTACGACAGTAGACCATATCCTTTATATGTTCCTTTTGAAATGTCTTTGAGTGTTTTCTTAATAGTTTCCTAAGGCTGCTAGCCCGGTCAGAAAGACGATCAGACCGTGTCCTCCTGCCATGGTATCACGATAGAGAAACGTATAAGAGAGAGAGAGAGAGAGAGAGAGAGAGAAAGGGTGAGGGGGGGGGGGCGAAAAATGTTGAAAGCGAGTAAAAAGAGGCTCCATTCGCGCCCGATACCGTAGTTCGTCTCAGTTCGAAAACTATTTATCTACCACGACGATCTCCTGTACTTATATCTATACCGGAAGTTTTTTTTTTTTATCTGCAGCACATCTGACTCGTTGAGCAGCGCAGCTTAAAAATGTGCATGGAATCACCCAACACATGAGTCGGCGTATGGACTTACCTACATTCTATATGAGAAACCTGAGATCCGTAATCAATACATTCGATGAACTATTGACAGTAATCCATGAGTTTGATGTTGATGTGTGCGCTTTAAGTGAAACATGGTCGAATAGTGAAAATTATGATTACTTCTCGATTGAGGAAGCGGTGTACTGATATACGCCAAGTAGTACCATAGTCCGCAAGCCCCTTTTCCTTGACAACGTCCCCGTCCCTGATATGAAGCTCTGGAGGTTGTTTGGCCTAAAGTTTGCCAAGAAATACATAGGGGCTCTATATGTTGCCGCAGTATGATCCCCTCCCAACAGTAGTTATGAAGCAGAACTCATCGACCATCTGATCACAACAGTGGACATGATTAGGTCCAGCCATCCAGATGCGGGGCTTGTCATCGTGGGAGATTTTTTAACAGGTTGGACACTGACACCATAATGTTCTTCGACTTTTCATAAGCAAGCAGTGGACAAGCCCATAGGGAACGGTTGCTCTCGGACACAACTCATTTTATTGATCATAATTAATTTGGCAGCCGTGCTGGAAGATCAACAACTCATTGTCTAGTCGACCTAGTAAGCATACTGTCTGTGTGCAAATGTGGAGAAGTTATGCTAGGATTTCACTGGGCCAGCGCCAGTTGGTGCCAGTTCGCGCCAAAGATTATGTGATTGGCGCGTAGTGGCTCGCTGTGGCGCCGAATTAATATCCGCTCGGCATGTGTCGCCAAGTGGAATAAACTGGGTGCCATATGGCGTGCGCCAAATGCCACCCGGCTTGCTCCAAAATGTTGCGCCAGTTCGCGCCAGTTCGCGCCATTACACGGCCATTTGACCCCGAAATTCACCCTGTTGGCGCCATTCGCGCCAATAGACGGCTACTTTGCGCCACTTGGTGATTAGTTTGTGCCAAAGGTCGCCAAATAGGTTTGAACTTGCCGCCGCTTGGCGCTACTTGCCGACTATATAAATACCGGCCATCGGCTACCTGGTTCAGACCCTCCTCAGCTGCTGTATGAACAACATCTCTACTAAATATTTACAATTTTGATGGCGGGCAACTAGGTGGCGTTTGGCGCGAAGTAGTCACCAATCGGGTGCCGTTTGGCTCGCGCCACTGCACATTGGCGCAACTTGGCGCGCGCCATTACATTCCAGTGGATTCCAATAGGCGGATTGTTTGCGCCAAAGGGCGATATGTTCGCGCATTTTGGTGCCACTTGGCGGACACTTGGCGCTGATTGCTTGATGCAAGTGGCGCGACGAAAATTTCAAACATTTTGAAATTTTCTTGCCGCCACATTCAAATTTGGTGCCGTTACGGGCCACCACGAGCCAGTTGTGAGGCAGTTTGAGCCACTACACGCCACTAGACACCTTATTGGCGACACTAGGCGCCACAGTAAATTACATTGGCGCAAACTGGCACCAACTGGCGCTGGCCCAGTGGACTCCTAGCATTAGGGACGACATCGACTGTCATTACAACATTTTGGGGGACAGCCTTTGACAGGGTTGACCATACTGTCGTGCTTAGGAAATTGATAGAACTCAATCCGCAAGGTTTCATTGCAAAATGGATGTATAATTTCCTAAATGGTCTCACCCAACGTGTCCGGTAACAAGGTTGTCTGTCAGAAAATTCATCAGTGAGAGCAGGTCTGCCACAGGATACAAAGGTCGGACCAGTGATGTTCTTGATACGAATCAATGATGCTCTCTCTACCACTGGAGTTATAGGTATTGGAATATACATGTATATGATATATATATATATATATATATGATATGACGGTCGGGGAATGAAGGCCGTGCTCCCCCAATTGTTACGGTACCCCTAAAGTGCCCCCTTTTACATAAGAAAAGTGCCCCTTTTTATTTCTAATAGGTGTCCGTTCCTTATTCTTATATGTGCCTCTTACCACCTCTGATTAGTGCCCCCTTCACCTATGATAATTGCCCCTATTTAAATCTGAGAGGTGTTAATTTTGATTAAACAAGTGCCCTTTTATTTTGTTGTAAATGACCCTTCCCTTTCCGATACGTGCCCCTTTTCATCTTTGTATTTAATGGCAAACCACTGCAATATCTTGCCTAGTATAATCATGGCTAGACATCTACAAAGTAAAGATAATGGCAAAACGAATTTCACTTATCATCAGAATTATAGTTCTGTGCTCGGCAGGGATCGTCATATGTGACATGTGACATCAGACCATCATCCAGCCATTATATGCAACAGTAGTCTAATTAAACTTTGGTACCTGGAACGTAAGCACCATGTACCAACAAGGGTTGTTGGTTGTTGGGAAGAACAAAATACAGTAATACATGGAATACAAGGGCATTGGAGCAAAATTGGAGAATTCAGACATCAGATGATTGGGGGAAATGGATGTTTACTAGAATCACAATGATGAGGAAAACTACTTATTTCCTTAATCAAATGAACATAAAATTAAACACGCATTTCCAATGGAAGATACAAATACTCCTGAAAAATAACAACAAAGGAAGGTTAGATTCTTTACAAGTGACAAGTAAAAAGCTTGTTTCTGAATACTGGGATGGCATCCGGCGTCTTACATGTGCCTAAATCATAGGCATGTTACGCTTACGAGAGACTGGTGGCCATCTGGGTTATGCTTGAGGTACTTATGTGCTATCTGATACTTGTAAATGATGTTTCAGCCGGATCACGACCTCCTTAAGTTGCTGGAGAACGGTGCAGTATTTTAGGTATTCTAGGCTGACCCGTCTTGGTTTATTGGTACTCAGTGTATGACGTAATATGGGGAACCTGCAGTATCTTGCCAAGAATAATCATGGCTAGACATCTACAAAGTAAAGATAATGGCAAAACGAATTTCACTTTGCACCAGAAAGGTAGTTCTGTGCTCGGTAGGGGTCGTCATATGCGACAGGTGACACCAGATTATCATCCAGCCACTGTACGCAACGGTAGTCTAAATAAAATTGGTACCTGGAACATGAGCACCATGTACCAAAAAGGGAAATTAGAAGATCGTTGGGAAGAACAAAATACAATAATACATGGAATACAAGGGCTTTGGAGCAAAATTGATATTTAATTTTTTTTTTTTTTTTTAGCAGATGTTTCTGCATTTATTGATAAATCAAATATAAAACATTCAAATAACAATAATAGTATATAATATAATTGATTTACATAAAGAGTGACAATTTAATACATACAAAATAAAATTTTTAAAAAAAAATGCATAATTGAAAGCTTGAAAGTATGGAGGTAAGTAAAAATAATCAAGATAAATGCAGAGGCCAACTATCATAAGCAAGAAAGCTTGAGTCGATAGCAGCCGGATATAATTCAGACATCTGAATATTTGTGGGGAAATGGAGATTTTCTAGATTCACAATTATAAAGAAACCTATTTATTTCCTTTCATCAAATAATCTTAAACCAGAAAGTTGTAGATAGTGACCGTCACTCACTCCTGAAGACGGACAGTCAACCTGTCCGAAACGTCGAGTCTACTCTCCTGCTCCTGCTCTGCAACTCTACTCAACTCTCCAACTCAATCCAGTCTTCTACTCAA